GCGATCTATCGGTGAATAATATTCTTCGTCCTCCTTATTCAGAAATGAAAAAACGAAAAAACAATTACAGTGATGTCTCGATGAATGCGACACGAGCAACAGCGTTATCCCCACCTCTGGAGGGTCCTCCTCTGGAACCAATCAAAGGAAAGCACACAGAAGCTAGGGTAAGTGTGGGTATTACTGCGGACTTTTGGGATAGGTTAACTTTAGAGTGCTCGATAAAGCGTTCAAATGAATGAAAGTCCCTGCTTCTTGTTTTTAACCCTTTCGCGACGGCAACGCTGGGGGCGGGTCGTCGTGCCATTAGTGCACACATGCCGTATATAACCGGCGGTAGCCAGTGTGAAGCATTTAGTGGAAGCCGGATATAACCGGCGCTAGCCGCGAAAAGGTTGAAGAAAGTTGGATGACATTCATTCCATAAAAAAATGAGATCGGGGTACCTAATAGACACATCTCATTGCAGAAATTACTGCGGACATGCATGTATTACCGTTTGCCAGTTACTAACGCAATACCTATTACTGCGCGTATATTACTGTGGATTTGTGTTAAGCAAAATATTAGTATAAATACCTATATCCTGTAGATAGAAAAATTATTTAATTTTATTTGCAAGAAGGATGTGATATATTATACAAGACAGAAAGTATTAATTTATTAGATATTTATAGTATTATATTAAGCCTTATATTACAATATGAACATTAATAAAATAAATAATAATAAACTTCTCAAAGGAAACTCAAAATTTTGTTTATTCTGATTTTTTTTTCAATAACATTAATTCTGTAGCTTTATTTTTTAAATGAGTAAATGCGGTGCAAAATAGGTTAGGTTACGCAGTCATCTCTCCGCAGTAATAAACACACGTGGTGTAAAGTACTGCACCTAACACTGCGATGAAAAATAAAAATTAAAAATAAACTGTAAATGTAACTCTTACTCTATGGAGTAATAACGCTACATTACGTGTATTTCGGTTGATAACAAAGATACAAATGTTTTTTAAGTAGGCGTTCAGAACCGTCATATTAGGAAATCGATCAAAGCTTCGTCTTAACGAATTTTAAACTACGATAAAAGAATTAATAACGACTTTGCTCTACATATTTACTAATAATTATTTGTAATAATGTTTAAAATAATTTTATCATTAACCTTCAAGAGCTTATAAACTTTTCAACATTAAATATTATTCGTTGTATAAATATCCGCAGTAATCGGGGCATCCGCAGTAATAAGTCCCACACTTACCCTAAACAGAGGCTCGGCTTGGGGCAAAACACAAATTTATGAGTGACTGGAAACCTTTCTGCCTTGCCATGAATGCTCCGAAGCGGACCCGAGTTCGTCGCTGTTATGAAAAAAGTACTGTATTCGCTAACCTAAAGTAGCCCCTACAAACCCGTCTCTATCACGTGCAGTCAATGCCACAGGGATGCCGCCTATGTACGGGCGTATCCACGGGCGGCCTAGGCTGGGTGCGAGCTAGAGGAAAACCGAATGAAACGAAACGGTCGCGATGAAAGGTCTACGGACAAGAGGAAGGAAGACACGGATGTAGTTATTATGACATTTGACCGTTACCTTAACTATTGCCTTAAATCTGCTTGACAATCGCAGGTGTCCAAACATTCGGAATGAAGAATTCTCACAGAAACATATGTTTGCCGTACATAAGTCTAAAAAGACTCCTATAAATAAATTTTCAATCTTAAAATTTATGTAAGTAAAATTTTTGTCTTAAATATTGGCGAAAAGAAGGAAAAGGAAAGGAAAGTAGAAAGAAGATAACGGAGGGGAAAAGAGTAACGAAAAAAAATCGGATACGACTACTTTTGGATTCGATCTGGGCCTGCTGTGTCGTAATCAGGTACTCTACCGCCGCACCCACGACTCGTTTATATATACAGATGTTTATATAACCGGGCTACTATACGCATGCAAAACGTTAAATCAAAATACAGTAAAAACTCCATGAGAGTTTGAAACTCAGGTCCGCTTCAAAACTTTCATGATGCATTGCGAATCGTTTCAATACCGTACAAATCCATTGTTTGCCCGAAGCCCGACCCTTAGCAACAAAAGGGGGGGGGGGTAATAAATTATGCGCTTCGCACGTTTCACGGCCTCCCTTCCCCAGTGGTGGGGATGAAGCAGAACCTCACACGGGGAACTTGTTATCCAACTCTCATCGAGTTTTTACTGTATCTCGAAAACCAACGCCCATTCTGAAAAAGCTCGAGAGGGTTTTGTAATACTATATGTACATGTTTTGTAGTAGGTATTATATGTATATCATTTCTACGTAGTGCTGTTCCAAAAATAATTTCCACACCCGTGCCTTTCCCTTGTGAGAACGAGAGAAAGAGACATTTTGCAATACATCGTCGTCCTTATACTTTTTCGGTATTTCAGCTTATGTAAAAAAAAGACTTGGAGGTGATAGCCGTCTAATATTCTTGCAATTAAAGAAAAATATAACCAAGATCTTGTTAATAATGTAGACTGTCACATAAAAATTGTCTGGGTACCACCCCATATTGGCATCCAAGGTAATGAAATAACGGACAAAGTGGCAAAGGCAGCCGCTGATATGGATCAGTCAGAATCGGCATTATTGCCATTTACTCATTACTACGAACTTTACAAGATAGATGCTAAATTACAAACCAGTCTTATTATAAAAGATCACGGTCTATTCAAAGGTAAAATATATTTTCAAAATTACTATCATGAAAGCACACGTTTCTGATATGCTGTAAAAGCAATATAATCGTCGCCGTACTGTAACTACAAACGGATGTTAAGCTAAACATTACAATATTTCGGTATCTTTACCAAGAATTGGAATAATTAATAATCCAAGATGCTCATCTAATAACGATACCCAGGACTTAAACCACATTTTATGTGACAGAAGTATTCGCACGCAGTTCTTGAATTGGAATGACTAATAATTCTTTAACAATATATATTCTGAAATGTTTGTCAATAGGGATGTGTAGTGCAATAATTAAGCATTCGAATAATGAGTCGTTTATGGAGACAACAATTCATACTAATGTAAATGAAAACTCATAGTAATGTAGTAATATAGTTTATAAATTCATAGTAATATAAATGAAGCTCACAAAAATATTCGCATTCCTACCAGTTGTATCCTTGTGGAATCAAAATATTTGTAAATGTTTGTAAATTTCCTGTGGCCCCTTAAATTGTACGAATTAGAATACTTTCATGAAATTACATTTTCGATGATTTATTTAAGTTTCCACTTACGTATGTTACTATTTTCAATTAATCATACGTGATTCGAAAGCTTCGTTATTGTACAATATATCCTCATTGGTAAACGTTTCAGAATATACAGGATGTTCCGTTTAAAACAGGCCACCTAAATATCTTCTCTATCTGTGATCATACGAGAAATATTTTTTACGTGATTTAAATGGTTTCAAGAGAGGTATCGGTTAGCAGCAACAATTTGTTATGAGTGTCATTGTTAATGGGTTTTTCAAAGTTACCCATGTTTTTTTTTACTAACATGCACATAATTTTTCCTGTTGTATATTATAGCCAACATTTTTATGCATTTATCCATGTATAATAATATGACCTTGCACTTTAAAAATTTTAAGCTTATAAAAAATTTACTGTAAACATTTTAACATTCACTTATCTAATTTTATCCACCATTTGATTCGTCTCTTGAAACTATTTAAATTACGTAAAACATTACTCGTATGATCACAGATAGAGAAGACATTTAGGTGAAGACTATTGTTCATTCGAATTCAAGAATGGCGAGGGTCCGAATACTTGTATGACTCGCTACAAGTAGAAATATGTATACACATAATTCTAACCACCACTGCACAGATAAATAAGCTTTGAATAAAGCTTGAAATGCTCAAATAAAAAAAAGAAGACCAGATATGACAAAGCGAATGGGTCCGCCTCCACGAGGCAAGTCCGTCCGTGCGCGCGTTCTATATACCTGTGCGCGCGGCGCTGGTGTAGAGCAGGTCGCGAAACCGCGGCGCGGTCGTCTCGTGGTCGTGCGGGCTGAAAACGTACATAGAAAGCCCAGGCCACCGCCGCCACTGGGGCCGAGTAGAGGAGTTGTGTCGGTTCGGCCCGGGCCGAGTTGAGTCGAACGGCTACGTCGGGGGGAGTCGAGGAGGTTCGAGTTGAGTCGAGTCGCAAGTCACCTCCGCTCACCTCACGGCGCGCTCGACTTCAGTCCGCGCTCGAGTCGTGCACCACGGAACACGCGAGAGACAGCTAAGCCGGCTGCCGCGACCGAGTTGGACACACGCGCCGGACACCCAGCAGTAGCAACAGCACCACAGTGATCACGTTAGACAGGACCCGCGTGGTTTGCTCCTAAGTTTCCGTCCCATACAGAAAGACACTGGAAGAGAATAGCTTCATTTTTTTTTTTTTTTCACGAAATTCGTTAATCAACGTCCCGTGTGTCGTTTCGGTCAGTCTAGGTGCAACTCGATCGAGAAGAAAGAAACGTGGACACCATAGAGGAATCGTTTGATCGATGTAGAAGACTGAAAAAATCACCAATGCCGTCGTATTATGTCACACTCCCACACGAGCGACGGCCGGCAGAACGGTGAACCGTGCCAACGTCTCCGTCGTCGTTTGACATTTCCACATAGCGTGGAGCGGGTAACGTGGACCCTGGCACTCGTGCACACGCGCCGCTCCGTGCCCGGTGTTGTGTTCCTCGTAGTAGCTGTCACTTGGCTGACGGACGTGGGTTCAGGAGCATAAACAATCATAGCAACAACGTGTAACCGCAAGACACATTTCGGTTTCAGTGACAATATAGGTTACCTTGGTGGTCCGCGCCGCGTGGTTCCCCCGACGTACGCCGTGAACGGTTTGCGTACTTAGGCCACACGCGGCCACAGTCCGTCGCGTTTGTTGATTACGAGCATCGATGTTCCGCTCGTGGAATCGTGAGATATAGAGTTTCCCGTTGCTCGATAATCGATGGACTGCTGACGTGGGTGGTGCTCGTTTCGAAGCGAAGTGAAGTACACGAAGGACTTGTGCGAAACTCTGGAAAAACCTGGGGACTCGACCTAGAGAGAAGATCGTTGCTGCGGTGGGATGATTACAACAGATCGAAAGGTAACGAAATATCGACTCTAGTATTAAAAGGTAGTTGAAAGGTTTCGACATGGACAGAGTACTTGATCTTGTCGACATAAACAGTTTTATATATTCGTGAAACAATGGTTTGACTATTTATCTATCCAAGGTTCAATCTTGTAACTTCTCGATTACACATAGTTTGCAAGCGTTTTTTAACGACAGAATTTCGATCGATACACGGGACATATTCACGATTGTCACGTATCGATCTACCTTGGTCTGTGATACCGAAGTTACGCCCGCGGCGGATCGATCGTGACTCCGGGCTATGAAATCGGTAATGAGCTGTAAATCTTCGGGGCGAGTACGCCGCCTCGATGCGTGAGTCACACATGCCGTGGTGCACCGACGATACCACCGTTCGATACATACGCCACCATCCCGAGAACTGTATTCTTTTTCCTTACGGTAGGAAATCGAAGGAAAGGATAATAAGCGAGAAATACACTCTCTCTTAGCCGCCGGCCGGTTTCGTCGTTGCTTTGCGCCGCGTGGGTGGACGCGCGAGAGAGACAAGGAGACTAGCGCCCGCTCGTCCGCGCGCTGCTGTGTGTGTGTGTGTGTGTGTGTGTGTGCGAGTGAGAAAGAGAGACAGGGTGAGGAAACAAGGCAGCGGGCAGCGTGGTTCGAGTCGATTTTTCGAAAATCCACCGTGAAACCTTCGTTAATGGCGATCCCAGGCCCCGATAACCGAGTTCATGCGCCGATCGATCGAACGCGAGATACCCAACCGATTTCGATCGACCACCGTTCCCCTGTGTCGAAAATCGATATTCGGCCTAGAGTTTCTTGCGTTAAGGGGTCTTGCCACTGCGAAAACCTGACAGACTATCATTTGTTTGGGAATTTTCTCTTCGGTGAACGAAATTTTCAACATAAATGAAGCGTTGTGTATTTGTTAATACATTTATTGCGAGTATAAAGAGATTTGTCTTGAAACTTTTAATAGTTTTTTTTTTAGTTACCTATTGCAATGAAGTCAGTAGATGATTCTGGAAGAACGAGGCATCACGATAAAAAAATTCAAACTGATTTTAAATCAGTATGATCAGTTGCTATTGTCGGAACCAAAATTATTTTGACCGCTAAAAAATAGAAAACTAGCGAAGGTTTAAAGCTCAAATTTCGAAAGTCGGTGCATTTTTTTAGTCATTTTACATTGTAAAAAGTATAAATGTTGTTGATCGAAACAGATTTTTGTGGTCTCTGCGATAGCCACGGATGTGCTGAATAACATGTATAAACTTCAGACCGATTGGTCAAATAGTTTTCTTGCGCCAACACCACATCATTTTTTCAAGGCTCTCACTTGAGTGGGATATATAAAAAAACCTATTGAAAGTTTCAAAATTAAATTGTTTTTACTCTCAATAAGAGTATTAATAAATAGACAACACTTCATTTATGTTGAAGACTTCGTTCACTGAAAAGGCTTCCCCGAAAGTGACAATTTTTCAGGACTTTATAACGGCAAGATCCCGTAAACCTGGAAAAACTATGTGGCTGGTGTTACGACCGTGTTTCAAATTAATTTTGTTGTTTTACGAGAAGTTTTATTATGTAGCTGGTAGGCTTACGCGAATAATTCCGCAACTACATAATAATATCGGAGAATTTACAAGTTCCAGCTTGCAATGGTTTGTTGTGCAAACACTTTTTACGATGTCACAAATTACGAGATAAATCGCTAATATTAGTAGTATATTTTACATATTACGTCCGATTTAGAGTTAAGTATGTTAATCATTAGGATAAATGTCCCACTTACTGCCAGTGTCCTTAATAATACCACATCGTATACTTTGCTTAATAAAAAATGTAACGTATAAAAAATTGCGTACGGTAAGTTTTGTTATTAAATCGGGGTTTGATTTACACGAAAATAACGAAATCCGTGAACTTGTTATCTATCTGATATTTAAAAATTAGTGTTGGAAAATGAAAGTGTAATTTGAGCGTCAAAAACGAAACTACGTAAGTAGGAAGTGATGACTAAGTCACACTAAAGAAAGCCGCAATTTGACTATTCAACCTCCATCTACTGTGTAAAATGAATTGTTAAAGTATATAAGAATTACTTTAATTTTTGAGGTGACAGTTATAGGGACACTGGAATTGCTCCTAGATTTTAATTAATTATTAATTGTTTCTTCGTATTTCATGTTTGAAACTACTTTTTTAGTGAAAAAGATGTTAAATAATATTATGTTCCGAACTGAGACGATTGTTGGGTTAAACAGCAGGTAAAACGATTAAATGAAGGTATGCTATAATCTTAAGGTGACAGTAATTGAGACATCCACCCTAATTCTTCACTTTTCTATCAAAATGCATACAATCTCGAAACGTGAACTGAGACAATCAACTGTCTTGTAATTTGTAAAATGTATAAGGTAAATGTAATTAGGTTCGCGATTAGGGAAAAGCATTTATTGTTATTGTATTAGTTTCCATAGGAACGTATTCTATATCGGAAATGTAAAAAGTAAGAAATGTATTAAATTTCAGCTATCATGAGGTGAACTATTGTTTTGCATAGAATTGATCGAATTTAAGTGTGGGGAAGAGTTCAGCTAACTGTTCCAATATGTGTGACTCATGAAAGCTAGATTGCAAGACGAATTTCATACACAACAGAGTAATATGCAGATGATTAATGTGACGTACCCTAATACGAAATGTTCATCGAATTTTCACATTTTTTTCGACACATTATCGATGTATTATCGGTATAAGTACCTCGAACAATGTCTATTAAATCTGATTTCTGACGCGGTAGATCTTCTCAGAATCATAAAATATCAAGCCCACAGACAAAATGTTTAAAATTGTAATTTAATCGTGTTCATCTATGAGTAAGAAAATTATATTATCAAAGTGTATGGAAACGAAAGCATTCACGAGCTGTAGAGAGTTGGGTCATTGCATTAATGAATGATCAATATAGCTAATTATTACTGCTTTGAAATGTCTGTCAAGTTCTTGTAAATGAATTAAAGTGCAAGATACAAATGTACTTGCATATTACCAGCTTCTTTCCCGCACTTTTCTATTATTCGGTAAATAAAAATGATTTAAGGTCTTCATGGGAAGGATTCCGTAGACGATTGATATCGTACCATTATTGTCTTCATTATTCTGTTAACCGAGAATGATGTACTTTGTTCCCGTTAATCCCTTGTTATGATTTTTCTCGTTATTACTCATTCCATCAATCTTTTCAATCTGTTACTATTATGACAAGTACATAATTTTCACGTTATTGTGGACGGCACGCGTATTATCATTTTAACTAACTATCAAGTCATCCTATATGGATGTTTATGATTTAAAAATTACCCCAACTTAAGACGTAATGTAACTTAAGACATTAATAATCGATGATATTCGTCCTTCCTTTCTGGGTGGTCGGACACCTTTAAGGCCCATTTATACACAATCGAGCCGTGTCCATGTGGTTATCGTATTTTTATATGTGGCAGTTTATACATTATCCGGGCCGTGTCCGTCGCTGTCCGTCGCTGTCCGTCGCTATCCGTCGCTATCCGTGGCCCGGACAGACCCCGGTTTCAATTTCTCGCCTCCGATACCTGGGTTCCACCGGGTCATTCCACGCAAAATCAGTCACTCTTTTTGGAGTAAAACATTACAATGAGATATTGAAGGGATGAGATTTGTGGGAGGTGAAACGGAGAAACTCGTGATTGTTTTTTTTCACACGTGCTACGCAGAACATTGCAAAAAACGTTCCTGGTCCATTCATGCTGGCCCATAAATTATAATCGGCTTCCCGTCGCGTGGGGGCCTGACGCCAAGTCTATTGACTGGTCTGTTTTCTATCCTAAAACAGAAATTATCTTCCAGCCGTACTGAGACTCTTGACAAATTTCGTATCGTAAGTAGGGATGGGATCAAGTTCAGTATGTATTTACGAATCCGAGTCAATTTCAGTAATAAAGTTTCGTTTCATGGGTTTCGATTACTTCTCAAAAGCAATAAAGTTTCAGTGAGTATACTTGAAATGTAATCATTTTATACAAGTTGGTTTCGAACTGTAGAATGAGTACCTGTTGATTCGAAAACGTACTTTTAAGTAGTTTGAATCTACTCGGCCAGTAGAGAGTCTACTTGAAAGTATTGCTTCCCTTTTTTGAAGTATTTATGAAACGTTCGAAGCTATCCAGTTAGATTGAAATCTACTTGTACTATACTTTATCCCATCTCTAATCGTAAGCCTGAACGACAGTCCAGACAACTCTAAACCCCTGTAGGAAAAAAAGTTATTTCAGTTAAAAAAATGTTTTAACCATTTATTTTACAATTGTTTTTAAGAAATGCAATTTTATAGTAGTAGGGCATTATTAAAAAATTGAGAATAATGAGGATATAGTCCTACTTGTCCCCTTAATGGACCAATTTAAAAAAATTGTTTATATGTATAATTTTAAAAAAGCTACCCAAAGAAACTGACTATGTAGTATGTTTATCCCGGATTGGTTCAGGATGATCCCCGGAAGATCCCCGGACTCGGATTGGACATGGCCTGGTTGCGTTTAAATAGGCCTAATTGCGTTACACAGTTAAATATTCGTTACGGAGCAAAACTAACTTTTAGTTGTCCACGTGACGTGAAAAGACAAGCAACAGATTTTTCAAATTATATCATTCTATCAAAATCTCAAACTGATTTCCCGACGGATTGGCTAAAGCAAACGTCGAGTTGTCTCAATTCCCTCCACTCATGTCTTGAGATCAGAGTTGAGAATGGTAAAGTTATTTTGTTAACACTAGAATTACCAAAGCTGTCAAAATGACGGATTGCAGGTTTTTTATTTTACAATTACTGGAGGTATAACGCTTTTTTTTTGGAATTTATATTAGCTTCTAATTTATTATACAATTCATGTCATATTATGTTGCGATCGATTGTATTATGTATTACGTATATTACTCAATTTTAGAGGTTAACTTAGTAT